CCCGCCACCACCGCCACCCGTGCCACCCCTGCCGTCCCCCCCCCCTCCTCCCACGGACCCCCCATCCCGCGCCCTGCCGTCCCACCGTTGCAGCCGTTGGGCTTGCCGCCGATCGGCTTGGAGGCCTTGTTGCACGCGTCGCAGCACTCGCCGGCCGTCTTGACCTTATGGTTGGCCCCCCACTTCACCACGTCACCCCACAGCCTGCGGAGGCCGGTTGGCGGCATCAGCATATGTGCACGGCGGCCCACGGCGGCCGGTCCAGGGGATCGGCCTGTGTGCAGGCACGGCTGCCCGGAAGCGCGGCAGCTTCGCCTATGAAACCAGAATACGAGGGGCCACGGCTGCTACCCCTTGCAGAAGGAGCTGTAGCTTGCGGGGCTGCGTGGGGAGGCAAGCACAGCGCGAGCTATCACATAGCTCACTCGGTCTGCTCCTGGGCGTTACACTCGGCTGGCGCCGGCTCTGGCTCCGCTTCTTCTACGATGGGCGCGGCGTTGCCGGCGCCCCCTCCGCTCGCGCCCTTGCTTGCCGCCGCCTGGAGCTCCTCTGGTTTCCGCACCACGCCCACTGGCTGGTCGGCGGCTGCGGCAGCGGCGCCACCGGCGACGGCGCCGGCGCCGGCCGCTGGGCCTGCAGCGCGCAGGAGGCCACGCGGGTCAGTTGGCGGTGCCGCACTCGCTCCACAGAGTGATCGAGCGCGGTGGCGGGCGCAATGGTGACAACGTGTTACTTTTATTGCTCACGTAGGCTAGCCATGTCCGCTGCACGGCCCGATTGCCGGTGGAGACCGTGCAGGTGAGGCAGGTGTTCCGCATGTTTGACGGCTCGGCCTGCCACCTCCTTCCAATTAAGCCTTTGTGATCCGGGGTTGGCCTGACCTATCAGCCGGCTAAGCTCAGCGAGCGAAAACAGGGTGGCGATCACGGTGAGGCCTGCAGCGATCGCGACCATCCGGAAAGCCGCATCGGGCCTTATGATGTGGGATATGGCACGTTGATGGAGGCCGTTGGTCTTCATGCCGCCAGGCGGTCGCACATGCACTGCGGCACGCAGAGCAGCGTCGTGCCCGCTGCGACTGTGTGCTAGATTTAAAAGTGCATGTGTGGATCAGAGAATGTGTCAAAAATCTGGTGTACATAAACTTTCGTGCATACCATTTACCGTAGGCTGCTTCGTGACCCAACAAACAGCTCGAGGTACCAAGTGCGGTCAACACAGGTGACACCCGGTGTGTGGTGTGTGTGTCAAGTCGCAGATTGGGCACACAGCCCATTCAACATAGGAGCCTGCCAGTCGTGCACGTAGGGAATTCAAAGTGCCTGGCCACTGGATTTCACATGTATAGCCATGGCACACATCTGTCTAGCCAAGATGAGACTGTCTAGCGACGGCGCAGCCTGATGGCTGGCATGGCCAGCACGCCTCACTCAGGCAGGCACGAGTAGCACCACAGGACAGCGCCTGGGCCGTACAGCAGCACATGGACCTGCTGAAATCCAACAACACTGTGCGAGTGCTCACAGAACCGCTTTCATGTATTGCTACGTGCAGACGTACAGCAAGTGCGGAACCTGTCAAACATGCCAGATAACATTGTACTTGAAACAAACGGCGACCGGATCAAAAGGTGCAACACCCCGCAGATTTTGGCTTCCATTTCGTTTCCTTGCCGTTTCTCGGGAGGATATGCATAGAGGTCCAGGGTTTTGTCAGAGCACCAGGCGTATCCTCCCTAGATGCCCCAATCCAAGCGCGGCAGTGCTGGCTGACAGCCCGCACCATCCCTGCACCCCCACGCCTGCAGGTTGCCTGTTACATTCCCCAGCTGCTGCCTACAGATCGCTCACTGGCCTCTGAGTCCGACCTGGTGAGAGTATCCGGGAGCAGGCCTGACATGTACACCACCGACCTTCCCTGCCAGATTGCCCCTGTACAGTACTTTTACAATGTGCCCTGGTCAAACCCAGGGAGAGCCCCGGTCAACCCCAGGGGGTTGATCAACAAACAGCAAGCTTGCTGCAGAGGTCGCAGCAACATCGGCCGCAGCAACACCGCTGAGTAGGGGTGAAGGCGGCGACAGCAAACAAACCCACACGTGGCTTTACCAATGCTGGCACAACGCTCAGCATGATCCCCCACAACCGTGATTTGGTAAAGAAAGCACGCGCAAAACGCAGTGCTGCCCTGCAAGGCAGGGCGCAGGCCCCGTTCCGCGAAATGCACAGGTATCTTTTGGCCTCCAAACACGTCCACAAAGCGCAGGAAGCAGCATGTCCAGTACCTCTCACACACTACTAGATAGTGTATTGAAAACCGCAGCGCAGAAATGCACCGAAAACCTCCTGCCTGCGGCCTGGGGCAGCAAAACGCCGAGCCATGGCCAAGAGCGAGCTGAGCCGAACGGCGCGCAGGAGCCGCCGCCAGCTTGGGCTGCGGGCGGCGTGATCTGATCACGCAGTGCCCTCGGGCACCTCAAAGCTGTAAAGTAGTGTTCAGAGCTGTCACACCTTTCTCACAGATTTCAACCCTTTAGGGCGCCTGGCCAGCTGGCAGGTCTCCCTCACGTGCAGCCAACCCACGCACTATGCCCGCCAGTGTATGCCGCCGTGCACACTGCAAGAGCACCAAGGCGGCCCCGGGGCGTCCCACGAAAAACCAGTGCTTGATCAATACGGCAAGGCAATTGGAGATGGGATGGAGTCGAAACCGTGGCAGCGGCGCATGCGTCGCCTTGGCACACTTCAGGGCTCGTAGGAAGGGACAGTCCAGGCTAATGAGTCGTGGACATGGGGGCGGGGCAGTGCGCCCAGGAAGGGACTGGTGCGTAACGAGGCTGCAACATGCAGCGCAGCGCGGAAATGAGTTTCCCGCGAGGATTGGGGGTGTCAACGACGAAACGCAGGTGGATGCAGAAACAGGGCTCGTGTGTGCGGGTTTTTGTGCCGCAGCTCGAACGTGTGCATGGCTTACGAGTGCGCATGAGGAAGGGGGACAGTGAGATAAAAAGCGGGGCCGGGTGAAACAGCCGCCCTTGGCACAAATTGCTGAAGCAAATGCTCGAGGTGCTGCCCGCAGCAGCGCATCGCCTGCAGCACGCGCAGCGGTCCGGGGTGAGGACAGCAGCGCCGCTGGCGCAAGCGGCCACGAGAGCTCCGTGGCAGCGAGGGGAGCTGCGCGCTGCTCGTTGCGCGCGCGAGGGTCGATGGTGTACCCGGGGCTGCCAGGGGTGCTGACCGCAGTGGCAGCGGCGCGCTGGCAGGCAGCAACGCTTCACTTCAGGGGTTCGCTCAAGCAATCGACAAACCAACCAACGGAGGCAGCAACTGCTGCGGCGTGGTGCGGTGCAGTTCATAAGTGGTGTACACACGGTGTTTAGGGGTAGACGTAGCAAAGGTGTATGAGAGATGAACCAAACCAAACAAATTCATCAGCAGGAAGTAAAGGCGAGTCGAAGGGCAATTCATACTTTTGGGAGAAGACTGAAGGGTCGGCTCGTACTGTAATTGGCTGAGAGACGCGCGAACTTTAGGGGCGGTTTTTGAATCAGCCCGGGAGAGCTGCGCGCCGTCCATCCGCAACTGCCAGAACCAAAGGCCAAAGGCTCGCCGCGCGGTGGACTCCAGGGTTGGTCTGCAGTGTGAAGCCACCCTGTGGGGTACCGCGCCACGCGCGCTGCGCGGGCTCCAACTGCTCTCGCCATTTGCTCGCTGCGCGCGTGTGCTGCGGGCAGCAGATCGAGGCCTGGTCAGATTTCCAAGGCTTGGCGTGCACCAATCGCCCACACCGGCGCGCCAGGCTTCTGTAGCTCCTCAAGCGCCGCGCTCGCTGCGGCTGGGAACGTCGCCATCAAAGCAGCGGTAGAGGGGCACCACGATGGGCACAATCCGCGGCAGCCGGAGCTGCGAAGGGGCCGCGAGGGTCGCCTTGACCGCGGGCCGCGGCGTCGCCGCAGCCGCACAGTGCAGCTGCATGGAAGGTGGGGGATGCCAGAACACCAGGTGGTGGCAGAGTTGACGTGTGAGTGCGCAACACCTGCCTGGAGCCCCAGGGCTGTGTAGGGTGCGACAGGCATGGCCTGCGCCCTGTGGGGCGGGCCAGCGTGGCGCGCGGGAGCGCTGCAGAACAATCCGTTGGCCCGCGCTTTCATTTTTCCGGCCGCTCGTCTCACCGCGTCATCCTCTGCAGAATCCAGCCAAGATGAGCATCTCGAAATCCAAGGCTCGGAGGCGCACGACAGGCGCGCCACTACCGCTGCAGACAGCTGCTGCCGCTGGTGCTGCTGCAGCTGCTGCTGCTGCTGCCGATATTGCCTCCGCCGCGCGTTGCTGCTGCTGCTGCCGCCGCTGCTGCTGTCGCTGAAGCCGGTGCTCGTGTTGCTGAGTGCACGCCTGGGGTCGGCACAGGCACCAAGGGTTGTGGGGGTTTCGCCAGAGCTGCGTCCCTGGGGGTGAGGAGAGGCGGCGAGTGGTGTGGGACTGCAAGCGGCCTCAAGTCTGGGCGTATTGGCTTGGGAGGGGGGTCAAGGGCGAGGGCGAGGACGAGGGAGGGGGCCAGAACAAAGTGAAGGGAAAGGGAGAGGAAATGTGGTGGCCCTGACGTGAGCGCAAGCCCTAGGCGCTGCGTCAGTGCCCGTGGCGAGCATACTGGCATGGCCGTGCGCTCACCTCGCACAGCGGCTCCCAGGTCTCATCCAGCACGGTCCATTCCACCAGCTGCAGCCGCACGCGCCGGCTGAACGCGGGGCCGGTGTTCTTCTGACCTGCTTGACTGCTAGGTGCCAGGCAGCACGCACGGCGGTCGTGTGAGGGCCCGTGCCCGCCACGGCGCTCGTCGGCGAGCGGCTGCTCAACAAAGCACGCAAAAGGGCTTGGAGCGACCATTTGAGAGGGCGCGAACTGCGTTCCTATGGCTAGGGCCTTCTTAGGACAGGAGATTGAACCGCCAGACCACCGCGAAATCCTACAGTACTGCGTGCAATCTAGAAAGCGATTGGAACAACGATCAATACGGCATCAGCCTGAATCATTACCGCACTAGCGTCTCGAAATGCCCGGCAACCCCTTCTGTTCAGCGCATTTTATGTTCGCACCCGATTTCACACCTCCTTGAGATGATGGATGTCAATGTGGCTTGCGGATCTTTAAACAGCGATCAAAACAGCGTGCGCCGCAATGGCCCGATGCGGACCTTCCACGGGATTCATGGCGCGGGCTGGCCAACTGTGTGATGACGTGGCAAGTGTAACAAGACAAGCCGCTAGCGTGCTCGCGAAGCGCTCTACGGCCCTATATATCCGTGACACTCGCCCCCACCTAGCCCATGCTCATCCTCGAGCCTGACTATATCGGGTATATAAGGCCGTAGAGCCCTTCCCGAGCACGCTAGCGACACCTATTGGCTTGTCACATTACAGCAAGCGCTGCCAACCATCACTCCATGCCAGCTGGACGCCTGCAAGCGCCCCTGCCCCTCTGAAGTTGTTCAATAAGCTTTGAATGCCACTTGGTAAGCGAGGTTCAAGCACCCTGTCAACGCCTCCCTGCACGACGTTGCCCACGAATCGGGCAGAAGCCGCCCTAGCATCAAACCGATGCAGCTCGCGCCAGCGCAATCACATCACAAGACGAGTCGCCGGCTCTAGGCAAAGCCAAGCACTGTTTGTCTTGCACGAACTGCGTGCTTGCAGTGTTAATAGCAGCCTGCAGACCCCACCCCGCCGGCCGATCCGGCAACCGTGCCCGCCACATCGGCTGAACAGATCTGCAGAGGCTGTGTGAATCCCTGAAAAGCGCTGAGTGACGCCTTGGAGACCATGCGGCACCTGCTGTTGCCTGCACAATAGTGCCAAAATGCAGCAGGACGCTGGGTTACAACCTCCTAGAAGGCGGCGTGCACGCGCCGCAGCAGCAAAAATGGCACAGTGACCTCAACAATGGAATTCAAGTTGCATCAATGTGGCCCACATAAGGACACACTTTTATACTGACAGCAACTCTTGTGCGCTCGGCTGACGGCGCGGTGCCACCAACATGAGTCAAAGAAGGCAAGGGCACCCAACTCGGGCCCATAGGGCCGCGCCACGACATAGCCCCACATGCTGGCGCCCTGATCTGGCGCGGCACTTGGGGCAAGAACCACTTGCAAAGCGCGTCTTTCAGCGCCTCGGCAGCACCTGTGATAATGTGACAACCTCCGCCCCCCGTGAGAGAGCGCATGCAGCGGTCAAGGGCGCACCCGGGCGCGGCCCCAGCGCCAATCGAACGCGTGGGAGGCATGACGGGGCTACGAATCCGCGCCTACCGCTCGTCTGGCAGCAGCTTGGCGTGGGCGCCGCCGCGTGCCTGGGCGTCTCTTTGCCCCGTGACATCACCGCCGCAGCCGTCACTGACGTCGTCATCAGCCGGGCCCATGGCTCGCCGCTTGCCACCGCCGCCCCCCGCGCCATCGCGGCGCTCGAGGGCCCCGCCGACGCGCCTGCGCCCGCCGCCAGCAGCATCAGCAGCGAGTGCGCCGCCGTCGGCGACGCCGCGGCTCAGCCCCTCCTCAGCCTCTTCCAGGGTCCACGTCGCCGCCGGCGCCGCCGGCGGCCCGCCGCCGCCCGTGCTGCTAGACACCCTGCGGGGGCC